TCCACCGTCAACACAGTCGCAGTCACTCGCTGAATTGTAGGCACCTCTTTTGGATGGGACAACTGACCTGGAGATTTAAAGTTACTCCATACCCAAAGCCAAAGATTGAACCCTTCACCTTTGGTTAAGGATGGATGAGTCCCTTGCACTCAACCACACCCACCAGGTTAACTCTTCTTTTGAATTGACAATTGGTAATCAAGAAAGTTCAAACTTTATTGATACTTTAAAAGAAAAAATTTTTATTACCATTGATCGTTGTCAAAAATAGTGATGAAGTATTGTGAAGAGTTGTCGTTCCGCTGGGGATTGACGCTATGACACGTACTTGTAGTGTAACTATTAACCTTCTAGACGCTAAAGCTTTAAACCCGTAAGAATCCAATCACACTCATAAACATGAGAGAACATATCAAAACTAATTAAAACACTTAAAGTATGAACTAAACACAATAAGAAAAGATAGGGCTCAAGTTACCTTCTAGATGCTACAATAGACTATAGGATTAGGGATGACAAATAATCAAGGAATCAAGAGGGCATGCATGTTAGAATTCAAGATCTTTCAGAATTACAACAAAGAATTGATCCACTTTCGTAACGCCTCAATTTCGAACTCTTAAGCTCATAGGCATTAAGGCCCCCCAAATCCAAGATTGCCAACGCCAATTTGGTAGACTAGCACGATACTTTTGTGATCCAATGCTAGGCCGAATTGGAAGACGAGGATCGTCCTGCTTTCGCGACGCTACAAACCCTCACAATAAAGCTCAAGCAATCTAGATCCCTAAAATTCCCCACTTTCGTAGTGAAACCTAGGAAGAGAGATTGGGTTGTGCAATGAGCGGCTTGAGTTCTCTTCACCCAACTTTCATTGCAGCAAGGAACTCTCCAAAAACATGCTAATGAGTATGGCCATCAAACATTAACAAGATCTAAACACAAATCCTTCACAAACATATGAACCCTATATTCAAGTTTTACCATTTATGCAATAATCACATATATAGTATCAAGATATGCAATACAACCTTATTAATCTAAGCCCACAAACTAACTACTCATATATATCAAAAATAAACATAGCAAAAGCACAAGTAATAAACATAAATATTGAAAAAAATAGATAAAAGAAAAAAAGAACTTCTCTATTGACAATGGAAGATAGAATCTTGAAATCCAAGAGTAGAACCTTCAATACAAGCTGCAAATATGTAAAGAAATAAAAATCTAAGCTTATTCTACCTTAGAAGGATGATAGAAAAATGAAAGGAAACAACCTCAACCGCTTAGGGTTGAGTTGGGGTCCAAAACCGCGTATGAATCTATGAAAACCAGCTTAAATAGTTGTACAAAGGTCAGCGCACGGATGGTGGCACTTCCGTGCGTAAAACAATGCATAATTCCCACATCTGGATCCAACGACTCTACAATGCAACTTCGACTTTTAGGTCAATTTTGACCCCTTTATCGTTAGAATTGGACTATTGTGATCTTCATTGAAAGTTGTAGCCCTTCACATTTTCTTTCCAATGGCACAAGAAGCACTTCATTTGGACATTCCTAGGTTGAGATATGATCCAAATACTGAACAGTGATCAATATGTGTGAGAATTTCAACTTATTGCTCATTTGTTTCACTTTTTGCTTATATTTGTCTAAGTGATAAAGACCATTGAAGGCATCACTCTTTGGCTCCTTAATTTGGAAGTATCTTAACCATCTCCTTAGCTTCTCATTGGCTCCCTTGGACTCCATATGCATCCAAAATGCTCAATTTGACTGCAATGCCCTCCAAAATGCATGAAAATACTTTTTTTTTTTTTTTTGCTTTAGTGAGAGATATTACACCTAAATTCACAAACAAAGCAAATAAGAGCTCTTTTGACATGATATCTACATTTTGGGGCTTGAAAATGGGATTAAATATGGGGAAAAGTGCATGTAAAATGTGTACAAAAATATAGTTATTAGCCATATATGTTTTATATGTGCTTTGATTTGTAAAAGTTTTTTTTATTTTTGGTGTAACTCAGAGTTTTCACTGTCGGACACACTAATTTCCTTGTTGAATTATAGCCACCTTTAAAAGTGAGATATATAGTCGAATAGTTAGCCTGGAGATTTAAGTCTACTCCATACACAAAAATTCGTTGACGTCTGCTGATTTGTAAAAGTTTGGATTAACTAGAAATATAATTTTTGTAGAATAGGAAAGTTAGGGGAACCTGATTCATTGTTTCTAGTAGCTAATTAAGGAGGTGTATTTTTGTCCTTTATCCGTTTATCCCACTTTGTTCCGTTGTTTGACAATAATGGTATATTGAAAAGTTTAGACAAAACAAATGTTTGAAATAATTTTTTAAATAATTTAATTTTTATATTTCTATTGGCATGTCTAGAGCGCTAAGTCCACATTCAGTATCAAAATGTTGCGTTGATTTTTATACAAATATAAAAAAATAAATTTATACTTTTACTACTAGGTATATTTTTTTTGCGCAGTAATAAAATTTTGATCTTTACAATTAGTATGAGTGTAGGTTTAATTACTAGTTATAATATTTAACGTAGTAGTAAGTATTTGGTCATAATAATTTTTAATATAACACCAAATTTTTAACTAATTTTTTCAATCAACAAATTTTCTAGAATAATTATTTCTTGGTTAAAAAAAAAAAGAATAATTATTTCTTCAAAAATTTAATTGACTAGATCGAAAACACTGTATAAAGAATGCTGATGATATGCATGTCACAATGCAACTTTAAACTTGATCGATATGATCTCTCTTTACCTAAAATTTTAATAGCAATATAATATAATACTAAAAAGGGGATTAAGCTTGGCAAGTTTATGTAAAAATATTCCTTAGTTGGATTAGCTAGCGGCGCCAATCCCAATGCCTTTGGCTAAACACTTTATTTGCTTTTGTGATTCTAAAGTTAGTAACAACTTGTTTATGATGGTTCAATTCAAAGATCAGATTCGTTCTTTAATTTGGTCTTGTGAGTTGGTCTCTCTAGGTTTATACTTGCTTTTATTTCATATAAATAAAGCAAATTAACCTATAGTGAAAGCATTCAAAAAAAAAAAAAAAAAAAAAAAAAAAAAACCTATAGTGAAAAAGGAAATAAAACAAAAGGGAGGAAAGAAATACTATAAATAATCAAAAGCACATTCCATTATCTCTTTTTCAAGAGATTTCAAACTAATTTTTCTCTAGAAAGGAGCTTTTTCTTGGACTAACTCTTAAGTAATGAATATCGTATTTTATATTATACGCCATCCAAGTTTTGAGTTCATAAAAAAAAAATGATACTTGAATTGATACTTTATTTTTCATGGCGGGATAGAAATTCTCATTGTTATTGAAGAATTTAATAGAGGTATATCTTTAAAGTCTATTTAACATTCTATACATGAGATGTTTTTAGTGTCGGATAGGATAGAATCTCATCTTCTAGAAAGGAAAATGCCAATCTAGAAAGGAAAATGCCAATCCACATTTGTATAATATCATATTTTATATTATATGCCGGCCAAACTTTGAGTTTATATTTTTTAAATGATACTCGGTACTTTATTTTTTTGTGGCGGGATGGAAATTCTCATTGCGGTTGAGAAATTTAATATATATATATATATATATATATATATATATATATATATATATATAGCAGTATCTTTATGTCTATTTAACATTTTATACATAAGACAAGTCATTTTTATGTTTGGTGCACAAAATTAAATTCTAATATTAGTACTCAATGTTAAAATTATAATTATATTCAATTATTTTTTAAATAATAGTTTATAAGTTTTTTTTTTTAAAAGTCAATGGTAGTTTAACTATGTAATGGTAATTTTATCTGAGAAAAATGATAGTAAACTATTTGTAGCCCAATGTATAACTCAATAAGTGTAGAAATACATACATAAATCATGGGTACTAACTTGGCCAGATTTAGTCTTCTAAGTTTTTAGATATGTAGAGTTTAACACATGCATGCGATTTACATTAACTAAGGCACACATACATATTCATGTTTATATATGTCAATTTCAAAACATCAATTTTATGAGTTTGAGAGTTACGTTGAAATATATGTTTTTCGTATAGGGTCAGGTGTATTCTCCTCATTTGGGAAATCCCCAGCTAAATTAATGTAACTGTTAATTTCGTGATCATAATATCCTTAGTTTGACCGTACTCTTTATAGAAGTTGTTTAACCTTTTCGATTTGAGCCGATTCACTTATCATTTGAATATAATATTTGATTTAGATGAGAACTCTTTAACACGATACACATATAAAAGTGTCAAAATATTTATTATTTTCTCTGTTTTTAGAGTTAATGTTAATCTTTTTCGCTCTAATGGAGCGGATATCGAAATTAAAGAGAAAAAGAAACTAGCTAGCCACTATAATTTTTAATTTGGACAAGAAACACCAAGAAAATTTTCAGTAAAAATATGTTCACGCTCATTCGTAGGTTGTCAAAAACTTGCAATACGTGATTATATCGAACAATCGATAGATTAATGACTAAACTATCAACAATCCTGTTTTGTTCCTATAATCATATATGCGAAACTTGAATCTCCTAAGGATTTAATTCTTGTAAAACATTAAACATGTTAACAACTATACCAACGATTTTTTTTTTTTTTTTAATTCCTGTAAAACATTATTAATTCAATTTTTCCTTGAATTATTGATTCCTTCGCCATGCAAATCATGCAAACTCCCCTCTCCCCACCCCCACACTTAGACAGACAAATGAGTTTGATGAGGAGAATACAAAAAGGGGCATCCTTTGACGTGCATGAACCTGTTGATCCATCGTTTTCATTTTTGTCTGTGTTTGCATGCATGCTTATCCGGCCAGCACCTTCAATTCTGGCCAACTTTTTATTCCCATTAATTAATTAACTCCATTTTCGTTCTCACAAAATCTTTCTTAATTATATTTATAGCAATTAGCAAAGAGAGATTACAGCTTAAAACCATAAAATATATTAAAATTATTGACCGTAAAACACAACAAGAACAAACAAGTGTACGTCAAATGTACATTTCATTTCATTCTACTTCAACTCCACCTAAAATCTATGGGACCTGTCAGATAATCTTAACTTTACCCCTTTCCCCCATTTCTTTTTTTGAAATTTAAACATAAAATTACAAACAAAGAAAAAAAAAAGACTGAAAATAAACAAAAAAAGGAAAATTCTACATAATTTTCTGAGTGCTAGTTTCACATCCGACCCGACAGGATTTGTGATTTCGTGCTCTCACAAGACTTGAATTTTAAACAGGATTTGTTTATCCACAGCTTCCAAAATCCCAGCATTATTGTTCGGAGTTGAACAACGTTCGTCACTATGATCTTCACTTGCAACGTTAAGATCCCAACATGGCTTTTCTTGATCTTTGTTTTCTTGAATGTGTTTTGGCGGGGAAGGAGGAGGAGAGGGGGCTCTCGAGCCGGAGCTTTCGCAGCTGAAAATGACAATGGCGTCCTTCATTCCCACCACCTCGCCGCCGCCGTCGTGCGGCGGCGTAAAGCTCCCGCTTTCAATGAGTTTCTTGATTCCCTTTTGGGAATGGTAATCGGCTTGATCAAGATCCTCCATGAAGAAAACCCGGCTAGGGTTTTCTCGAACCGCGTCCATGAACCGCTCAAGATAGCTTCTTCCTTGCTCATCTCTCGCCCTTTTCTTGCTCACCACTTCTTCCTCGGCGGAGTCGGCCCTCGTCGCCGACGAGGATAAGCTACTAATCCCGATGGGGACAAAATTATCCTCGGAACCAAACACAACTCTAGCCAGCTCCCTTGCAATCCTCTCTTTCCCTTCAGAATCAACTCCCAAGAAGGACATCCATGTCTCTTTCTTTTCTCTGGCTCTATTATTATTCCCTTTCTTCGCCATTCCCGACCTACACTGAAGGACTGTGCTAACTATTTCCGGGATTATGCTATCCTTCTGCCATGGAACTTTCTTCTCCAAAGCTCTGCAAAGAATATTCATGTTCTCTGAATTGACCTCATTGAACCTGTTCAAACACTCCATGGAAAGATGATGATGATTCCCACTCGCTTCACTAGAGGAAGCAGAATTAGGACTCGAATTCGGGTTGGATAATAGGTCTGGCTTGGTATCTGGGATCATGCTATTTGTACCCTCTACTGCAGCTTCATTTTCAGATGCAAAGAATTGGTGTTCTTTAGGTGATTGGTTTGATTCAAAGATGACTGGCCAACTTAGAAGGCTTTGGTGTAACTTGGAGCTTCTTTGATCATTTGAAGATATTGAAGCTGAGGAGCAAGGAGATGGTGAAGAGAAGCTCAAAGTTTTCTCAGGAAAAAGTGTATGCTGCTTGTGAATTGAGCTGCAGATTGAGTTCCACTTCTTGCACAGATCACTAATCTTATCACATTCCTGCTAAAAAGAATAAGAAATATACTGTCAGATCAAACGCTTACCACTAAGCCAGAAATATACTTTATTTTCTTAGTTTCAATGGCAGGATGCTGGACACAACTCTCTAAGTCATAGCCCAACATGTACCGTTATTGATACTCACTATTGAGCATATAATATATAAAATATAAATATGTAATCATCAGTTTAAACTTTTAACTGAGATAGAATATGTTCTTGAACTTACTTGATCATTGGTGGTTTGTCTTGTGGTCTCTTCTTCTTTGCACTTTTGGAGCCATGAAGGCAAGCTTGTGGTGGTGGTGGTTGGCTCAGTCTTAACAACAGGAGTGTGGCTGGCTAGGTTTCTAGCATCCTTGTTGAAGTTTGCCAAGCAATCTGCACAGCAAGTCAGATGTTTCTCAACACTACTATTATGATGTTGTCTGCTAAGTGCCCAGCTTGATCCTTCTTGTACTGCTGCCTTGCTTCCAAATTGACCATTCAGATCACTGAACAAATAAGTAAACCAAAAAAAGTGTAAATACAATTAAAGACTCTTATTAACATCTCATGACCCAGGTCCCATGGTCCCACACTCCAACCTGACAGAATACAAAATAATGCATGATTTAATCAAGAAGAGAGCATACTATACCTCTCAAGCTTGAGGCTAAGAGCCAAGGTGCCAACTGGGATTGTGAGTGGATGAAGAGACCAAAGAGTTTCGAGAGAAGGGTGACCAGTTTTGCACTTGATATAAGTTTGAAAAGTGGCAATTCCCATAAGCCAAAGCCTGCCATTATTTTCCCCTATTCCACCACCACATAAAAGTCTGCTAAGCTCCATTATCATGTGCTCCACAGGAGAGTAGTAGTGGGAGCTTTGGTCTGCATATTTTGACCAAAACTCAGAAACCCATTTAAGATCACCCAAGTACAAAACAACACCTCTGCTTATGTAGCTTTTCACTAAGGTTCTAAGCTCCCCAAGCTTCACCTCAAACTCATCTCTTGACACATTCCTCAGGGTCAAAAGTGGAACACTAATGAACTGCACATGCCTCATGTCCTCCCCAGGGACTTCACCTTTGTTGATCTTTTCTATCACTCCCCTAACTACCCCTTCAGCTGTGGCCAAACACTCCCCAACAATCACACTGTTTTTCCTCTTCTTGCTCATAAGAGCCTCCAAAACACCCATCACATCATCATCCCTGATCACTGCTTGACTAGGGCGATCATAGGATGATGTTTTGCTAAATGATGGCAACCTTAACTGAGAAACATTATTGTTGTTTCCTAGGACTAATGGTTTTGCCCCAGCTTCCTTACTGGAACAAACCTCCAAGGAAACAGCTTGCTCCACATTGGTTTTCACCTGGCTACTCGAAAACCCGGCTTCCCTCATCACTCTACTCACACTGGGGTCATCAAGAATGGATATTACTAGCTGCTCAACCTCCACCTTCAAGGCTAGAATAGGCTGCTGCTGATTCTCTATTGACCCTCTTCTCTGATGAGCCTGAGCACGCTTAAAGGCGGCCACGAGGGCGTTGGAGAGGGAAGGGAGGTGGGAATGGGGGCCTAGAATGGGGTTGGAAGAGGAAGTTGGGAGGCGGTTGAGGGCGACATTAAAGCACAGCTCAAGAGCTTTGCACTGGAGAGGGTGAGAGTGGGAATGGAGGCAAGCTCTTCTGAACAGCCCAGAAGAAGAAGCCAGCATTGCACTAGCTACATGGAGAGGAGTGACATGGGAGTGGCCTCTCCTTCTAGCTAAGCTCATTGCCTGCCTCACAATGCCTGCAGATTCATGTGTTAGTGACTGCTGGAAGGTATAGCCACCAGTCCTCATCTTATATATTAATTCTGAGTTTCAATTCTCTCTTTTGGTTTCAAGAATCAAGAACTGATCTAGTGTGGTGTTTCAAGAAAGAGACCAGATGTTGATGATGATGAGAAGGAGGGGTTTAGGATGATTCTTGAATTTCATAGGGAATTTCAAGAAAGAGACTAGTGATGAGTTCAGATTATGGGTTTGTGGTGTGGTAGTGAAGGGAATTAATAGGAGATGGGGTAGGGGTGGGGGTGGGGGGTGGGGGTGGGGAAGGTTGTGCCTTCCTTGTAGTTGTTGGCTTAGCATGAGAAAGTGGAAAGCATGTGAGGCAAAGCTAAATTGTCTATCTTTTTGGCTCTCATAAGGGGATAATTAAATTAAAGGTAGGTGAAGGATAATTTGCCATTGTTATACCATGTATAGGGTCCACCTGTAGACCTTAATCTAAAAATTTTGTATTGCACTTAAAATAGTGTGTGTCTGTGACAGGTCCTAACTACAGACAAATACATAATCTGAATGTCATTTTGGATTAATTAACTAAGGTTCAAAATACAAGGTGAGCTCTGATACATGATATAATAATTTACCGAATTTGAGGTTTTCTATGTGGTTGGGTTATTATAGGAGAATAACCTAAAAAAAAAAAAAAAAAAAAAAAATACAGCATAACAAGAAAACATCATGGCTAGGTGCTTTATGTTTTATGGCTAGATTTATTATAAATTAGGAATGATGAATAGGCAGCTTTTGGATGGTGATTGGAGAATGGAATTGGTATTGTGTGCAATAGAGATATATCTCTATCAAAGCTTTGGTAAAAAGAGAAAAGTGAAGGAAAAGAGAAAGGAGAGATCTGAAAAGAGAGGGAGGACTGGCTGTCTGTTTGAAGGAATTGGAAACTGTGTATGTTTTTTTTTTGTGGTTCAAGCTTCTCATCATAAATCTCTCTCTACAACAAAGGGGATTAAAGCATTGTTTGGATTGAGAAAAGCACCTATTTTAAGGATGTTTGTGCTAAAGCCCATCCAGCTCATTGCTTTTAGCCCACTGTAAGTTCTGTTATCAGGCCCAGCCTGTACATCAACGGTTGTTATACCGTGGACCATGATCCATAGTGTTATGTGGACCATGGTTGCCAAATGTCTTTTAGTCGAGCGACATAGCTGTGGACCTTCAAATGAGAGGTCTCAGGTTCGAATCTCAGTGTAGGGACATTGACTCTTTGTGCTTCACTAGATTGAGAAAGTATGTTTGAGCAGATACTATATTGTAATATAGTCAATATGTTTGAGCATATACTTTAAAACGATGTCGTTTTGGACTAAAGTCCATCTTACAATGTGGACTAAAGCATGTCATTTTCCCTCATTTCTTTAATTTCTATTTTTTAATCTTAATGGCACATAAAAAAAATGGAGAAAAACACTACCCACAGAATTGATCTCAAACAGGACAACTTCCATCAAAAGAGACTGCCTGCCAGCAACAAAATTAAACCAAAACAATTTCAGGTGAAGTAAATGTCTGTACATGATTATGATTATGATTTATGTCATGTCTCCATTATAAGTTGTCTTTACCTTTGTCTCCCTGCCACTTCAACTCACAAACAGAATCAGAGTTACAAAGGTCAAGTACATAGCATCATGGAATCACAAAAGAAGGGCCCTTCCTCTGTACTAGTTGATCAGAGAAAATTTTCCAAGAAATGAAATCAAATAAATGAAATTATACATACATTGCCTACTAATAATCAGTCAGAAGGGTTTCCATCATTATCGGTATCATAGAAAGTGTCATAGTCGTATTCACAGTTGTCTAACCCTTCCTCGTTGTTATTGATATCAGTACTTGAAATATGAGTTTTATGTGCATTCCAATCGGGAGGGAACGTCTTCTGAAGGGCCTCGGTTATACTGCCACCAGCCCTCTCGATCTTGCGTAAGCACTTGGACCAATAGACGGCAGTGCCCATATCGACTGTCATTCCAGACTCGACCATCTCTTTACTAATGCTTTGGATCCCTGTTAAAACGTAATCTTCAGCCACAGCAGCTCTTGATATCAAAGACGTCATTAAACAATGGTATACAGCTTTGTCGGGCTTTAGTCCAGCTTGCTTCATTTCTTCGAAACATTTCAAAGCCTTCTCCGGGAGAGACGCCCGTGCCCAACCGTGTATGAGTGTTGTATATGTCTTTACATTAGGTTGCACTCCTACTACTTTCATTTCTTCTATTGTTTTCAGTGCTCTCTGAAAATGATATGCCAATGCTGATTCAAACATTCTATCACTTGAAAGAATTACCACCATTTTAGGTGCTCTAACAGAAGCTAAGGAGAATATGCCAATGATGATTGTAACCACTCAATAAAGGAATAAAGGATTGCATTAGAAATGCCTAAAAAATGCTAGGAGAATAATCGAAAGGGTAGACCAAAGTGAGGATTAAGATGACGCTAAAAGTGATTATTTTGATGGTTAATATATATGAAATTGAAACTAGCTTGGTTGGCGTGAGTGGCCGTGCACCATCATCCCTTAAGAGAGGTCGGGAGTTCGAACCCCCTCTCGTATGGAAAAACCAATCTGGCCAGCACTTGCCCCTTAATTGGGCCAGGCCGATGCAAATGGGGATTAGTCTGAATATGGTACGGGCTTAAAGGTACCTCCTACAGTTAGGGCCTGTTCAGGACACCTCATGGTCTGACAAAAATATATATATATGAAATTAAAGTCCTACATAAGTACTAAAATACCTGCATGTCTCCGGCTTTGCAACAAGCATTTATGAAAGATGTATATGTATGAATATCCGGCTGAACCCCTTCTTCTCTCATTTGTTGCATAAGGTCAGCAGCTTCCCAAACATCACCTCTTCGGGCCCATCTTCATTTAAAAAAAAAAAAAAAAAAAAAACAGAACTGAGGAAGCAACCACAATAGGGATAATAAGCAAATCATGAAAGAAAGTGAATCAGAATAGAGGATGTTTTGCTCTTTTTCTGTTCCTAATTTATTCTTGAATGGCCAAAACGTCTTATTTTTTTTCTTTTTGGTATCCCATGACTCATCAAAATACTGGCCTTGTTAGATAGCTCTATTATACATAAATATGGAGAAATTAGTACCAATGATAAGTAATATACTCCTTAGTCCTTACCCATCGACTAATATGTTGTATACAAAGGTGTTCCTGGGAATGTTCTGAGCGTTCATTTCTTTCGTCACTGCTAAAGCACTTTGCATCCTCCCTGATTTGCAACAAGCCTTGAGCAACGCCTCGTATGTATATACATCAACCTCCAGTCCCTCGGCTTTAAGTTTTGTGAAATATTGAAAAGCTTTCCCAATATCACCTAGCGATGCATAACCATGCATAATGGTTGTATATGTGTGTTCAGTAGGACTAATTCCAGCTACCAACATCTCGTCCAAAATATCAACAGCCTTCTCCATCTGTGTTGAGTATGACAGAAACGAGGAAAAAAAACAAACAAACAAAAGACTGGTTCAATGCAAGTACAAGGCATTTGCTTCAAACATCTACCATTGTTTGCCTCAAGAAACTCTGAATGCTTGCAGATATTAAATTGACCCCACTTTGAAGACTCTAACGTGCACAAATGCATTATTCCAGGTAACTTGGTAGAATGCAAACATGTAGATAATGGTTAAACTATGTTATTTCAGTAACCAGCTTGGTTGGCGTGAGTGGCTGTGCACTCTCATCCCTTAAGAGGGGTCGGGAGTTCAAACCCCCTCTCGTATGGAAAAACCAATCTGGCCAGCACTTTGCCCCTTATTTGGGCTGGCCCGGTGCAAATGGGGATTAGTCTGAGTATGGTACGGGCTTAAAGGTGCCTCTTACAGTTAGGGTCTGCTCAGGACACCCCATGGTCTAACCAAAAAGAAATATGTAATTTCAGTAAAGTTAACGTACATCAGGCACATGTTTATGCAGCTATAGATGCCATGCTTAGTGCCCTTTGTTGATAGACACAGAAATATAAAAACCAGTTTTTTACGCTCTATCCATGGAAACATAGGATCTATACTGAAATTTTTTCTTTACCTGGCGCTTTTCAACTAGCCCAAGAATTAAAGCATTAAACATGTGCACAGTTGGTATGCATCCACTCCTCCTCATCATGTCCAAAGTACAGAGGGCTCTATTTACTTCTCCAGTTTTTGCAAAAGCATGAATGATGGGCAGATACGTCCTTGAACTAGGCTTAAGCCTCTGCCTTATCATTTCATCAACTATACAAATGGCACGGTCCATGTTGCCCATTCCACAGAAGGCTCTAATGATGTTATTGTAAAGCACGAGATCTGGTTTTAAGCCATCCTCTATCACATCTTCAAAAATGGCAAAAGCATTCGCCCAATCCTTCAAATTTATGAATCCATTGATCAACATAGAATAAGTCTTCATGTTATGTCTTATTCCTGCCAATTTCATCATTTCGCAGACTTCCAAAGCTTTAGAAGCCTTTCCTAACTGCAATGGTTAACATGGAAATTTTTAAAAAAAAAAAAAAAAAGAAGAAGCACAACCTAAACCAAAAAATCTAGTTATTAACAAAAAATTGTATATCTGGATATTGAATAATGATAAAAATGAACAAGACAATTTTACATAAAATTAATGGGAAATAGGGGAAAAGTACCTTCGTATACAGATTAATGAGACATCCATAACTGATTACTGATGGTGTAAAGCCACATTCCTATAGAAAAAATTACAAATTATAAGCTCAGAACAATTTATATGCCATTGACAGGACATTTTTAACTCCATAGTAGGAATCACAGATAATCTGCCTAAGAAGCTCTGAACATAGAAAGTTCCAAGCCGAGAGTAAAGTTGTGGTGGGTCACTGAGTTGATTGCCAACATACAATTTATCACAACTCTAAGAAATGGACTCTACATACAATGAATTCAAAACTGGATTATATGTGCCCCAAACCAATTAGATTGAAATTACTCCGTAATATTTAGTTGAGTTTGGTAGGAATTACAAAGTGTTTTATGAAAACAAAAATCAGGTCAAAAACAGACAAAACAATTTCAAGATTCAGCATCGATTCTGCATGGTTCTGCTAAAGGCATTCATACCTTAAGTCTATCAAACACAACAAGACATTTTTCCGCATTTCCACTCATTGTATAACCATCCATCATTGTGTGATATATATCAATTGGAGCATCAATACCATCTTCTTCCATCTCTCTGACCAACTCTTCAGCTCGATCCATATTACCTGTTTGGCTGTATTTTCACAAAAAAATTATAACAATAAATAAATTCCAACAGAAAAAGAAAAGCAGCATAGTTACTTTTGCAAAGGCCAACAATTATCAAAATGATCTTATTAATGCAACAGATCCAGGGATAAGGAAATTTACCATTTGGAAAATAAATAAACTTATAAAAGAAACCTCAAATGAAGGATAGCGTACCAATTAGCATAGATTATGCTTCCATATATGATAGCATTTAAAGTCATATGCTTTTCTTTAGCCTCTTGAAACCACCGCTCTGCAGCTCTTCCATGAACAGGATAATGAAACATCAGAGAAGATGGTTGGTTTTCCAAAAAAAAAAAAAAAAGTATCTCACAAATTAGTTCAAAGGTAAGAAATGTGGTGTTGGAGGAATAGAAAATCAGATGCTTCTAGTAGGACAACCCGACATCATTCTAGGTCATTGAGTAAATAGATTAGAAAATCTAAGAGAATTAACATAGCAACTTAACACCTTACAGGACATGCAACTGAAAGTTCTAAATTGTGCAATGATAAAAGGTTGTGTATGACACTTTAAAGTGTGGGAATTACTTACTCAACATTGCCCAATTTAGCAAATCCACTGACAATAATACTGTAAGTCACCAAACTCATTTCGAGTCCTTCATCTTTCATTTTTCTCGCACAACTAAGTGCTTCTTCCATGTCTCTACCCACTGCATAAGCATGAACCAGGCTGCAAAAAAGGGGTTACACTTTATGTTGGAACACATATAACACAAGTATTTAACACTACATATATCTAGCTATCATTTCATGGCTATGGAAGTTGCATAATTGTCAAATGTCTAGAAGAACAAACATTGAGTTCAATGTGATTATGTAAATTAGAAACATGCTCTGGGTATTGCTCCACATGAAAAAATGGTCGAAGAATGCTTACATAGTTACATGAGCATGTATTCAACATTAGTCTATGAACTCAGTCAAGTACCGGCTTAGTAACATTTTTGGAAGTAGGGATAGTATATTAACTGTAGCCACAGTATATCAGTGGAACTAACTTGGTATATACATGAGATGTTGGCTCTATTCCCCTAGCACGCATCTTCTCAAAGGTTTCCCTTGCACGATGCATGTCCCCACGCCTAGCATAATAGTTCACCATCAAACCAAACTCCTTCCTGGATGGCTACAGAGAGTACAATCATTTATACAATTAAAATGACCCAAAATCATATGATCAACAATTCCCGAGAACCAAAATTCACTACTGTTCCATTAACTACAAACCAGTTAAAGGACCCCGAGATCAATTCTTCCCCTTGCAAAAGCACAGCAACATAATATACTGAAATGCACTATGCCTCATATTAAGAAGTAGTTATCAATTGATTCTTCTTTATTCTTTCTTATAAGCATTTGGCATGTTCAATTTCCAGATGACCAAGTAAAGCTAGCAGATAAATAATATAAAGGAGCAGAATACCTTTTTGATTCTCTCAAAAGCTTGTACAACTGCTTGCCAATTATCTGGCTGTGATTCTAAAACCTTCCTGAACTCCCTTCTGGAACCCTCTCTCTCTTCATGCCACTTGGACCTATACTCATCCTCATCTTTCCCTTCCACCCACCTCTTTCTCTCCTCTCTTTTGGCTTTCAATCTCCTTCCATCGTCCAACTTGACAGTCAACACCCTCCCATGAAACTCAATCCCATCGAACTCCACCGCCTTCAATGCCGCCTTCTCAGCCATGGGCCCTCCATATATCACAAATCCAAACCCCATATTTCTGTCAGTTTCATGGTGACCTTTTATCAAAATTACATTTTTGATAGGCCCAAACTGCCGAAAGAACTCCGCAACCTCATTTTTCTTGATCCACAGTGGCAGATTCCCCACAAAGATCTTTCCTTGCTCCCTAATTTCAACTCTGGGCTCCATTTCTTCCGACCCCGAACTTTCTGAATTCTCCAAAACATCATTTTCACCTTCCTCTAGAACTGCTGGCTGAGGCGGCGGCGGGGGTGGGTTGAGTTTACTGGACAACCAGAGCTTGCTTGTCAGGCTCTGAGGCTGCGGTGGAGGAGGCGAAGGAGAGGGGATAGTGGGAGGGGGTGGAGTGGAATTAATGAGATTCTTAAGGGGGTTTTTTGGGAATTTAGAGTCCTTCTGATTGGCGGGGCGGCGCGGCCTGGTGGAGGATGAAGAAGCGATTGAACGGGAATTGTGAGGGGAGTCCGGAGGGAGGTTCAGGGAGAGAATGGGGGCGGAGGTGGTGGTGGTTAGGCTTTTTCCGGGGAGGATGGCGGCTGAGAAGTGTGGCAGTTGAGAAGGTTGTGAGTAATGTGCGGTGGAAGATAGGGAGAAAATATCCATTGATATCACTCCACTCTACTCCGCTCCTCTAACTTCATCAACACTAGCCATGGTGCCTGGATTATTCAGTTGATATGGTTTCGCCTAAATTTTCAATTTTCAGTTTTGAACCTGGTTTTTACTAATAATACAACTTCAGCCCCTGCGCTTTAATACATTTACGGGTTTGCCTCATATTGCCTTCTTCAACATCTACTAGAGTACTAGAACTACTACTCCATATAAAATAGCCTCAAGTTTTAGAAATAAAAAAAAATTGGGAAAAGATACAAAGGAGATAGCAATTAAGTTATCGAATCCAAAAACAAGAGTAATGAGTATTTTTAGTAGGTTAACAACATGTTTGCGTCAATTGGTATGTCATGTTTATATTTTATTTTATATTTTATTTTATATTTTATTATCCAACTAAGCATTTGACTCTCTTCCTGGATGTCATGTTTTTCTTATTTTAATTTTTGACGTGTCGGTTACTGTATTTAAAAATAATTTTTTTAAATTTTATTTTAATAATTTCAAATAAAATATTAATTTGAAATTATAAATTTAAAAAAAAAAAAAAAAAAAAAAACCATCCATGGCTGGCCGGACCATGGCTTTCAAAATAATTATTTTATTTGAAATTATTAAAATAAATTTTAAAAAATTATTTATAAATGCAGTAACTGACATGTCAGGAAATAAAATTAGGAAAACATGACATCCATGGAGAAGGTCAAATGCTTAGTAGGATAATAATAATAATAACAATAATAATAATAATAATAAATATATGCATGGCATCCCAATCAGCGCAAACATATTGTTAACCTGCTAAATATGAGATCCAAAAGCATTTGGAATCAAATGATGGTGGAAGTCCCGGCCCATATCCAATTTACGATAGAAAAGTACTTTAAAGTCAAAGAATAATCCTTCGCATTCAACAAGCAATGATGAAGAGACATCTTAGCATCGAAAATATTCATTTTCTTCTTTATTTTTTGGTGGCCATCAAGGCAATACATACATCCATTTTTATTCAATTCGTTGAACATTTATTTATAAATACTAGTATTTTCACACGGACGTTGCACGGAATAGATTTGTTATAATACTTTAAGAATATTTGGATCGATATACAAATATAAATTATAACAATGAATATTATATAGTGCAGTTGATGAAATGGGTTATATCGATTACGTTTTCTGATGTTATCCTTGCTTGAATTTGAGCAAATAATTGTCAATTTATCCGTGCGATGTGCATGCAATGCACGGAAATCTTTTTTATTATATATTACCAATTAATAGATATTAGTTAATTTTCATATAACATCTTGTTACCAATAAAGCTTTATTCACTGCTGGAAATTATGGAATTTCCGACCACCTGAAAATGATCTTAAATCAAGTCAAAAGTCTTGTTCCGACCACTTTTGGTATCCAGAAAAACCTTTGTTGCTATTTTCAACCACTTTTTACTTTCGACTTGATATAAGGTCACTTTTAGGTGGTCGGAAATTTCATTATTTCCAGCCGTGATTAATTCTTTTACCAATAAATTAATTAATTAATATTAAGAAAAGTTTGAGCGGGAAAGTTGATGAAGAGGATGATTTGCTTTTATTAATAAGTATATGGATTAATTAGGAAGAGGTAAAGATGATGATTTTATTTATTTATTTATTTTTTTTTTGAAAACCAAAATACTGAATAATATTAAATCAAATGTTGAATACAATCGGGAATAGAAATAAGCCAACTAGAGTGACCAGTTTGCGAACTTTCAACCCGTGCTAAAGTATGAGCAGCCTTATTCACTGATATAGGAATATACTTGAAAGACACTGATTCAAAGTGTCTTTGTAAAACTTTTATATCATTCAGCACGCACACAACCCGCACTCGATCCACTATTGAGTTATTGATAGATTTGCACACCATTTGACAATCCGAAAAAACCACGATTTTAGACAATTGCCTATCTTTTGCATGCCCAAGATAATGCCTCTTTTACAGCCATGGATTCACCAAGGTAAACATCATTCAAACACCTAAAGGACCCATTCTTAGCAGCAATAAAACCCCCATGGCAGTCTAAGACAACCACACCATAATAGCCATAATCAGACTCCAGAAAGATCGCTGCATCAACAAAAATTTTCATCACACCCTCCGGAACAGTATGCATAGGAGGCGAAGGGGATAGGATTGATTGGTGTGGAGAGTTCAGTCATAATTACCTGCCAATCAGATACTAAATGTGCAGCCTCAATCTTCACAGTCAACGCATGCCAAGTTTTAGAATTCCAAACCGGCCAATTCATTGCGCCTCCTCCATATACACCAGCACCTCGCCACGCACTGCAGAAATAGAGAAATATTCTCACTTGATAACATCCCTGCCAGCCAAGATGCGAGGTTACCCGTAGAGTCAAACAACGGAAAATTAAGAAGGTCATTCCAAACCTTAGCAACATAAACGCACTCACATAGTAAATGTTGCATGTTACGTCGAGAACAACTCCTCTGGACAGTAGGGCGACCATGGTAGGAACAACATGTGATCTGAGAACCCAAAATTTAATTTTATAAATTCGATTTTGAGAAAATTCAAAATAGTCATTTTTCACCTTACAAAATTTTTGTTATAAAATCGGTGTTTGAATAAATTATTTTGAGCCACTTTTAAATAAATTCAACATCGGGACTTATTTTAAATCTAAAATCCTAAATTTTAGAGTACATCGCATACCAAGTTTTTGATCCAAAAGTCAATCTAAGTGAAATCGGAAAATCTGAGGAACCTAAACTAAGTGGTTGTCTAGAAAATATTTAAACTATGATTCTAGACTATGGTCCATGATGCAAGGTGAACCATAAGCTTTCTCAAAACCTTCTCTGAACTTTTAGAAACCAAGCTAATTTACTCTTTCGCCCTCCACCAATCATTGAGCATCAACCTAGGGTTTTGCACCCTATATAAGCTTCACTATTCGATTGATGATTTCCTGATCTCTTTCTTTGCCTCACTCAAGCCTTTGTTTGCCAAGTAGAAGAAGAACAACACAGTATGTTTTTCAAGCACCATTCTCATCCATTCCCTCATTTCTCTTTCTAGTTTTCCACTCGTTTGCTCCCAATCTCTAAGTTTTCTTTCTCATGCTTTGTTGTGCGGTTTGTTTGGGGAGTTTAGGTGGTGAAGGAAGTGCTAGCTAAGTTGGGAGGAAGAAGAGATCCAAACAAAGAACAAGAAGAAGTTAAGTTATAACCCATGGACTCCCACCTCTCTACATACTCTGTGAAGTCAAGTTTGTTATTGAAAACGTGTTGAAATGCTAGATTATTGATGTGTTTGAGCTATTAAGTGATCTATTGTTGATCTATGATGTGTTGTTGAGGATCTAAGAGTGTTAGATTGCTTGAAATTGCATTGCAGATGAAGAAGGACCCCACTGGTACACAGACAGTGTGCACCAGATGGAGTCACGGAGCCAGCCAATGGTCCTGGGCAAGGATCGTTGGCCAGCCCCGTGGAGGCACGGCTCATGGCATGAGCCGTGTCCCTACGCCGCTGCTTAGCTGAGGCCAAGTGGCGGGGCTTGAGAAGTCCCGCCGCAAGCTCCGCCAGGCTATATCTGTGTAGTGGCTGGGCCCTTGTGGCTCAGCTACGTGTCATTTCGGGCCGAGACTCGCAGGCTCTTGAGGCTCGGATACTCGGGATCGTTACGACGCACGAGTAGAATTTGATTTCATTGGATTTGGAGTAGAAATGAGTAATTTGCAATAGAATTTGTGATGTTTCATGCTATAGAAGTTGTTTGGGAACATTTGCAGAGAATGAAAATGTGAAGTATTTGGTCTTGGCTATTTGTTTGAGAAGCATGACAATTATTTGATTGTTAGATTAAGAAGTACGATCATTATTTGCCAAAGTTTGCTTGATTAGCATGCCTAAGTATCCATTGTGAGAATTTGAGAAGTTTTGCCAAGAAAATGAGATTGTAGCATGTACAAGCTTGCCTTCTATTTACTATAAATAAGTTCATGAAGTACATTTTGAGTTTAAAGAGCATGATCAATGTTTGCTATGTGTTGCCAAGAAGTTTTGCTAAGTATTAAAGTGATGAGCATGAAGTAGTATAACAATTGTTTGACTTATAATCAAAGAGAAATTGAGATATTGTCTTATATATAGTAAAGAGAATGCTTAGCATATCATGAACTAAAGTGCATTAGTGGCTCTAAGTAAGCCTAAGTATTCTTTCAAAACCTATATCTATTTTGGGAAAATCATTATCTAGTTGCATTGAGAAGTTGCATGATATTTGATTTCCAAATTGTGAGAAAAAAAAAGCTATTGAAAAGCTATGTCCATAAGTTTGCATAAGATTGAAATGCATAAGTTATATCTATATGTATTTAGTGTGAGTAATCCGAGGTTTTGGAGGCCCGTTAGGACTTTGTCCTTTCGAAAGAAAAGAGAAAGTAAAGAAAGAAACGGACATTGCGATCCGATGTGAAGTAACAAGATCGATATTCCCGAGTTACTAAGTAGGATACTACCCACCGAGCTTGGAATCCCGGTTAGGGGGTGTGCACACTGACAAGTACGATACCTGATTCCACAGAGTTTGAGAAAAAGAACCAAGAGAGTGGTTCTGTTGGTGAGATGAGTATTAGGCCGGCTAGATGCCGAGCCTAGATAGGTCCATTCACATTATGGTGAAGTTCCTACCTCGCCACGAGTATAAGTAAAGAAAGCGAGTCAACATGGCTCTAAAGAAAGTAAAGAAAAGCGAATCATTGTGACTCTAAGAAACCTCGATTTAACAAGTGTTCCTTGTTGCCAAAGAAGGAGTGTATTTGTATATCTATCTATACTTATATTAAAGCATCATGTTCATCTTATTGCATGATTATAAGAGTTGCATGTATTACATGAATGTATGAGAAGTAGTATGATAGCATGTGATTGCTTATTGAGTTATATGATAGCATGCGAATATGAGATTGTTTATTGAGTTATATGATAGCATGAGATTGCTTATTGAGTTATATGATAGCATGAGATTGTTTATTGAGTTATATGATAACATGAGATTGCTTATTAAGTTATATGATAGCATGAGATTGCTTATTGAGTTATATTTAGCATGAGATTACTTGTTAAGTTATATGATGATATGAGATGGTTGTTAAGATATATTTTAGCTCATTCAACATCACATTACCGAAAACCTAATTAAATAGATAATATAGGGCATAATTGTACTCATCAGATCTTTTGCTGGTTTAGATGTTCTTATTGAAGTTCTTTTTCTTTCTTTCTTTCTTTCAATTTAAAGGCGTAATTAGTAATTAATTAACTATTTTGTTACAATTAAGTGACCATTTTGATATTTTTCCAAAAATAAAATAAAAATAAAAATGATGCATTGATGCAGCCATTAAATGGAAGTTGGGTTCCCCCATTTGGGTGATGTTAATTATGCATTTTAATTTCCTTTTGGAGACACATCTATATATGGTATGAACATACATCAATACATCAGCATAATAAATTCTTACTAAATTACATTATATAGCCCAAATTTCAGCAATTAATTGTTTTTAATCTGGTAATTACGTTACGTTCAAACAATACATTTCAAAATATGTCACAACAGCACATTACTGTAATTTGTAGTTATTCACTTTTAGGGATCATTTGGTTAATGCAATGTCAGATTACTTTAGGGAATGTCAAATTGTTGAGATTATTAGATTCTTTGTAATGTTAGATTTCTGTGTTTAGTTAAAATTAAGATCAGATATGTAATATATAAACATGTTTAGTTGAAGAGTTATTGTTTATGATATAATGGTTATTTTTACTTTAATACAATCAGCATATATCGTGTAAAATGACGTTTTTCCATACGACATTTGTATTCGTATTCATGATATGATGAGGTTAATCTAGTCAAGTCTTAGTTAGTTTCATTCAAAATAAGGAACTGAACGTGCTAGGTATAATTAGTCTATGTTATCAATGCATCATTAGTTACATATCTCGTGATATGAGAGTAATATAGTCAAGTCTCATTGGAACTTGTATATTGTGTCGGATATTCTTATTACACACTTTACTTTTATTGGAAAAATAAATAAAAGTTGTCACTTAAATCAATTCAAACATTCCACATCGGTATAAAATAAAAAAAATTAATAACAAAGAATATAAAGTAGAGTAAATAGAATATTGCTCGAATGCACGAAAGTGCAGTTGTAAAATGCTTTTCCGTCCATTTACATTTTTAGTCCAACAAAATACTATTTGAATGCCAAACACTTAGTGCTCAGATGACATGTAGTAACATCTTCTATGTGGAAAGTTATTGACTCTTTGTGTTTCATTAGATTGTGAAAATATGAAACTGGTTATTTTTTATAAAATAACAGTGATCCCATCAAACCACAAAATAATTGAAAGGGCAGTGATTAATTAAGTAAAAATAAAAAAATAAAAGAAAAGAAACATTATATTAAAGATTAACAGCATAACCCACAATAATGAACAACATGAGGGAGGTTGACAATGTCCTCCACTCCTCCATACTAATATACATATACAGCAACCTTCTGACAACAACAACTAACAATAATAACAATAAAACATAAATTATTTCAATAATCCATTCATGAATGCCTCCCACCATTTGCATCCATGCCATTTCTTCCCTACGCAAACAAACAAATTAATTCACCTGTAAAGTTAAATCATACGTTTAGTGGTCCTGAAAATCACAACGTACCATCAAACAATACATACAGACAAACTAGTACCTAGTACTTGGTGCAATAGAATATACACACATAAGTTTTTTATTTTTTTTTTTTTTTTTTTTTTTGAGAAAAACCAAATCAATTACTTGTTGTAAGAATACAAAGATCAGTGTTCGAATGAGCAGTCTGAGCTAACGTATGAGCCTACCCATTTACTGTTCTACTAACGTGCAAATGCTTGAAAATTAGACAAATTTCTACGACACTCCCTAACTGCAAAATTAGTATATGAACTGGGAAAATGTCGTTTATCAGCCGACACACATAACACTGCTGGAAATTATGGAATTTTCGACCACCTAAAAGTGATCTTAAATCAAGTCCAAAGCAAAAAGTGGTCGGAAATAACAACAAAGGTTTTTCCGAATACTAAAAGTGGTCGGAACAAGACTTTCGACTTGATTTAAGATCACTTTCAAGTGGTCGGAAATTCCATAATTTTCATCAATGTAAGTTTAGTCGTCCTGAAAATCAAAAATTACCATCAAACTATACAGGCAACCTAGTACCTGGTGCAATAGGGTATGTATATCGTAACAACATTGTTAGTCATATGTGCATTCTAGCTAAAAAGATTTGATATTCACATTATATATATTTGTGTATACATACATACGACATTAATTTGGAGGCGGTGAAGCCAATTCTGGAGTCTGGTCGTCCTTTCCATTTCCATGATCATCATCAGAGCCGCCGTCGTCGTCACTCGCCGCCTTCGTCTCCTCGGACGGCATCTCTTCCGCTAGGGGGTCGGCGGCGGGGAGTTCCGGCGTGGCGGCGCGAGGAGGAGAGAAGAGGCCTTCCAGGGTGGAAGTAGGCGACTCTCTGAAATAAAGCTCGCCGAACATCTCAGTAACCAAAGGATGCTCCTCGTCGTCGTCGTCAACCTCCGCCTCCTTCTCCTTCCGCCGCCGGGACTGCTCGTATCGCGATTTCTGGAAACAGGTCTGCTCTTGAATGGATATGATCTCCATGAACTCTTTCATGGTGTACACGTCCCGGGAAGCCATGCTTTTTAATTTAGTTAATTTGCTGCAATCTAAAATATAATCAGAAGAGTTGAAGCTGGCAAATGCCTATTTATAGTGGGGTGGGGGTAGTGGGGTGGGGGAGGGGGTGGTGACTCGACTGAGATGGTAATAATTAATGTCACATTTTTTTACCCACTTATCTATTCATTTTACAAGTAACTATCTCATTTCATAAATGTTAAAAGTTGTGATGCATATCCAGGGTTGCAAAAATCCCGCCTAGGCACAGAGTAATCGGCGCCTCTAGACCGTGGCAATTTTCCCCTTAGGCTCCCGCCTAGGAGACCGGCCGCCTAGGTGCTCGCCTAGCGGCTAACTCGGCCGATTACGCCGAGTTAACTCGTCAATTTCTGTCGAGTTAGCTTAGTTAACCCGGCCGACTCGACCTTGCTAATTTTTTTCATTCATATATATATATATATATATATATATATATATATGTGTGTGTGTGTGTGTGTGTGTGTGTGTGTGTGTATGAATGTATGTATGTATAATATGACATATATGCACCTACACACGTGCACTGTTTTCTATTTTTTCAGTTAGCCGCCTACGCGACCGCCTTGGCCGTCTAGGCGTTAGGCGCTACTCTACCGCCCGACTAACGCCTAGCGCCTATTGCAACCATGTGCATATCACACGTTATAGTTTAATTTTAATGGATTGTTTTTGAAATCTTATCTTAGGATAATTAAATTCAAGGTTGCTCTAGACCAGTGATCACGGCTGGAAATTATAGAATTTTCGATCACCTGAAAATGATCTTAAATCAAGTCGAAAGTCTTGTTCTGACCACTTTTGGTATTCGGAAACACCTTTGTTATTATTTTCGATCACTTTTTGTTTTCGACTTGATATAAGATGATCACTTTCAGGTGGTCGAAAATTCCATAATTTTCAGCGGTGGATTTGGCCCGACCAGGCCGATGAGTTGTACGTTTGTTCATTGGAATGAATAGAATGCACGAGTTGTTGGCTGCTTAATGGCATGGTATCTCATGTGAATTAGAAAAATTAAGTTGTTAAACTAGGCATATTTATCCCGGTAATAATTTCCATAATATTAGCAAATCACATAGTTTAAGAAAACGCTCACAAGAGAAAACTGACGACGACACATCAGAATTTCAGGTGTGACCGTTTGAAACGTATGTAAGTTTAGCCGTCCAAATAAAATTGTTCGATCCGCTTTAAAAGAAATTAAAGAGTAACTAACATTGAAACTAATGTTGGTACTTACTAAATGACCATGCACAACAATTGTTTCATCTATGCCCACTGTTTCTCAGAATATATTAAGTTTATATTCATGTTTATCCTTGAATTGCAATAATCTCAATTAAAAAATAGCATTTTGTTTATAACTTAGATTTTTTGCCTATGAATAATAAATTGAATTAATATAGTTTCGAGACTGAACATTAAATTTTATACTTTTATGCACAAGGACTTCATTCGAAATTCAAACCTATAACATTTATGGTAAGGATTGAACCTCATTCTTGCTGCTAGAAGCATATTTTAATCTAACTACTACATGTCTACACGTGAGAAATTTAAATTTGACCATTTAGTAGGTCCAATCCTGCAGGCCAAGTAATTATACAATATACCCGGAGTACACACACAAAAGAGTAATAACATACTAACATTAATGTTCAGGATTACCATGATTTACATCTTCTCAAATGTTCTGTCGGGTAGGGGTGTGGGGTCCCTTAAGGTTAAGGTTCAGGCTTTTGGAAGTAATAACATACTAACATTAATGGTGTTTTGCACTAATTCTATATCTTCCCAACCCACCCTAGAATTTGCATTGTGACATTCATGACACTCACAAGGAAGCTAACACTTATTAGATGGACTAGTATTTTTTATGCGCGATGTGTAAAAAATAGGTGCCCAATATTAATACATTATATTAAAATTTTAAATTTATTTAGATTTTAGATATTTAAATTATTCTAAATAATAATAATAATGTAAATCATTTTTATAAATTTGATATTTATATTTATGTAATAATTAACATATAACTCACCAAGTGGCTTGTGGTCCACTGGTATCGGATTGCTCCCCTATATGGAAGGTTTAGGTTTTGAGCCTCGTTGTAGGCATAAATTGTATGGGTATCCCCCTTCCTTTGTAATAAAAAAAAAATTAACATATAACTCAAATATTTAATGTGTATATATTATTATTAATGAAGAAGATAAGAAAATATATTGTGGATGCATGTGCATGGTAATAATAGTAGGAAAGATAATGGAAGTTATAACGGTAGGGGTATGTTTGTCCAAAATATTTTAATGTGCAACCTTTATAGCATAATGTACAAAAAAATTAACGGAAAAAACGAACATAAATCAGTGGTATAACTTTCATTCACACTTATTATGTTTTTAGATTTTTAGATTACACATTATTATGATTATCTTATATTATGACCATTGTTTATTTTCTTAATATATGTCATTAGAATAATTTGGTTTAGATTTATGTAGAATTTATTCTTTATTTTCTCCAGACGTTACAAAAATAATTTCAAAATTAACGTTCAGAGACTCAAAATAATTTCAAAACTAACGTCAAAGGATTCACCTCCCACGTCAAAGAAAGATTATAAAGATTACAATTATATTGGCTTAGATTATCCCATCAATATAGGGACTGTAATCCTTGGAAGGGGGAATTGAATGGGGTGGGGAGAGGAGGGGGGTTTGTAATAGCTGGCATTCACGTATCACGGAAATTATGGAATTTTCGACCACCTAAAATTAATCTTAAATCAATTCGAAAGTAAAAAGTGGTCAGAAATAGCAACAAAGATTTTTTCGAATATCAAAAGTGGTCGGACAAAACTTTCGACTTGATTTAAGATCACTTTCAGGTGATTGGAAATTTCATAATTTCCAGTAGTGTATCAATAATCCATATTTGGTGACAGGTAGTATACCATTGCTAATCATCAAGATGCTTAGACAATGAGTCTAATCCTCTGTAACCAAAAAAAAAAATTTTAAAAATGGTTAAGGAATACACTCTACGCACAAATACTATACAGAATCTATTTGCATGGCTTGTGTATACATCCTGGTTATCTTAAATAAACTACATTTATATTCTATAAAAATCTCAGCAATAATGCAATGAGCGAAATATATTTTTGCATGTGGTTAATTGGGAAAGTTCACTTTAAAGCATATATTCTACACAATAGTTACTATTATGCTCGAATAAAAAACATTATTCACTCTTCTACATATTTTTACGATAACTGATACGCCACTTACACTTCGTCATTTACGAAAGATCCTCTAAAGTTTTCAAATTAGGGCTAAACAAAACTAGCAAATTAAACTTGAAAATTACAAAATTATAACAAGACTACCAATGGGAACCCATATTCTAATATAGAAATACATGAATTCGAATTTAAGTAAACAGGCTTCTCATCATAAAGATAACATCCAAGCAATATACATGCATGCAGAACCATTCTCTATATATGCTTATACTGCAATATAATGCAGAAAATACTTAACCAGTCAGCATTATGTACACAAACTTAAAATGTCAAAACCTTAAACCCTAAGCCAAACTATTGCAACATAATTTAACAAAAAAAAAAAGTAATACAAATGAAAATGCAGAAGAGGTAAATTTCTTCTCCGCTTACTGTTCTCGTCTTTCCATCTTTCAGCTAGGAAAAACATAATTATGAAGATGTGAGAGATCAAACCCCGTGCCTA